TGATGGGCACTTAGGTTGTTTCCAACTCCTTGCTATTGTGAACAAAGCCATGATAAACATGGGTGTGCATAAACTGCTTGGGTGGCAGTGATGGTGTCTTTGGGGTTTATTCCCAGGAGTGGAATTGCTTCATAGGGTTACTATGAGTCGTGCTGGACTCAATGGCAATCAACAATAACAGGAGAAGACCCATCCAAACTCCAGGCTCAAACAGCCATAGGTTTATTAGAGTCAATTTACAATGATAAAGAACATTAATTAGGAAGGAAGAGGAATCAGAAGAGAATGAGAGGTGAGTGATAAAGTTTGTTGCATTATGTACTTTGGTTATGTGGTCCATCAGAACTATGAGCGTGAGTATGGTGAGGTTCTTTGTATAGTTACAAAGCTTGTTGTAACAAAACTTTACTGGAGTGGCCAGAGGCTTGAACATAAGGTCAATGAACTCTAGCAAGCGAAACAAGGGCAAACAACTATTTTGCGGTTATTTAATTTAGAGAGTTCTAGAATGAAACAGCATCAGGCTTTTCAAAGGCAACTGCTTGAAAGGCTTAATATTAAAGAGGTATCATGGTGATTTAGCATTTTGGGGGAAACCAATATTGATTTACTTGGAATGACCATGATAGGATAATTTTGGAAATCACTGGTGTCCAGGTGGATAAGGAGTTGTGTTTTAATCCACCAGCTGAACTATGGGAGAAAGATGGGAAATCAACCCCTGTGCGAATGACAGATTCTGAAAACCCACTGGAGGAGTCTCTGGAGATACAGAGGAATCACACAGGAAGAGACTGTCCATCTTTCTCCCACAGGACAGGTGGTAGTTAGATGTCATCAAGTTGATTATGACTCACAGAGATCCTATGAACAACATATCTGAACCTCATCCTATCCCGTGCCATCTTCACCATCGTTGATATACTTGAGCCCACTGCTGCAGTCACTCTTCAATCCATCTCTTTAAGGGTCTTCCTCTTTTTCACTAGCCCTTTACTTTTCCAAGGATGATGTTCCTCTGCAAGGACTAGCCCTTCCTAACAATACGCCCCAATTATGTGAAACCAAGTTTCACCATCCTTGCCTCTAAGGAGCACCCCGGTTGCACTTTTTAAAAGACATATTTGTTTGCGGTCTTGGAAGTCTATGTGATATTCTTTACTTTCCTCCAACAACACAACTCAAAGGCATCTCTTCATCTGTCACACTTATTCACTGTCCAACTTTCAGATGCATAGCGAGTAATTGAAAAGAACATGGTTTGGACGAGGTATGCCTTGGACTTTAAATGACACAATTGCTCCTGAAAACCTTGAAGATCTCCCTGATGATATATTTGTCCAATGCAACACGTCTTTTAAGTGCTGGTAGCCTAATAGTAAGGAATTCATTCTCAGTCCAAAAGCATGTGGTTCAAAGCCATTAGCTTTTCTGAGAGAAAAATGGGCAATCCCTTTTTCTGTAATTTACAGATTTAAGTTGGTTCTGACTTGATGGTATATAACAAAAAACAATGTCTTTGGGCTGGTAATATAAAATAAAATAATCAAACTTGGATGATACCATTTCCTCTACAACACAGAGTCAGACACATACCTATAAAAGAATATTAACGTGTAACAAAGGAAGAGAGCTTGAGTGATGTGAAGAAAAGATCTTGTGGTAAGTAGACGGATTATATCTACTACAAGAAGTACATATCCACAAGAAATTAATTTTCTAAATAAATGTTATATATATTATATAAAACTAATAACTGGGCTGTCCATTTGCTGGACAGAGGTAACTCATGGTTGCTGTGATGCTAAACACTGTGACACTGATGTGTCAAATGCGATAATGGTTACCCACGGTGACAGTGTTTGGTAGAGGTCCCCAATTAAAACAAGCTTGGAAGCAGGAGTGGCATCCACTTCTGAAATAGCTTGCCTCTGGAAACTCTATGAATTTGGAGAAATGATGGAAGTTATACAAATGTTCTGGTCTTTCATTCATAGGGTTGGTATGAGTTGTCTATGACTCGACGACATTTACGAACAACAATAACAATATATAATAAGGAGCTTAGAGGTACAGTGCTCAAGTTCTTGCCTGCTAACTGAAGGTCAGTGGTTCTAGCCCACTGGGCATTCAACACTCACGTTTGCTGCTGTTGTATCAGTCTGTTTCTGTAAAGAGCCATAGTTTTGGGAAAGCGTAGATGGCAGCTACAGTGAGTGTATTTTATAATGTGTTTCTGAGAAAGAATCAACTCAATGGCAGTGAATTTATACATAATGTTTTTGCTGTTTCACTTACTCTGACACAACTACTCCCATTACCCCAGTTACTGTGTCAATCCGTCTCACCAAGGGTCTTCCTCTCCTGCGCTGTCCCTCCACCCTTCCAAACATGATGTCCATCTCTAGGGAGTGATCCCTCCTGGCCACAATGTATGTGAGACAGAGCTTCAAAATCCTTGCCTCTAAAGAGAAACTTGTTTCACCCCATCCAAGAAAGACCTGTTTATTCTCATGGTGGTCCATGGTATGTTCAAGACTCTTCTCCAGCACCACAATTTGAAGGCACTGATTTTTCTTCTGTCATCCTTAGTTATTGTCTTGCTCTCTGATGCACAGCAAGTAATTGTGAAGATTATGGCCTGGATCAGGCACACCTTAGTCTATATACTGATATCATTTACTCATCAGCACTTTGGAGAAATCCTGACAGCAGACTTCCCCAATGCAATTTGACTTTTGATTTTCTGACTGCTGATACCAAGAGTGTTGACTGTGGAGCCAAGCAAGCTGAAATTGTTAACAACCTCAATCTCTTCTCCATCTATTATGCCAACTGGCCCATGGTCAGAATCTTTGTCTACTTGATGTTGAACTTCAATCCATATTGAAGATTACAGTCCTTAACTTTCTGTAGCAAGCGCTTCAGGTCCTCTTCATTTTCAGCAAGCAAATTTGTGTCATCTGCATATTGCAGGTTGCTGATTAGTCTTCTTCCAATCCTGATGTCACATGCTTCCTCTTAATAACCAGTCTCCCAGAATGAAATGGATTGTCATGGGACATTTTTAATCAGACAGTAATGTGATCTACTATGTCAGAGATGAAAAAGTGATAAAAAACAGAGTCTCTTTCATAGTTAAAAAGGTCATTTCTAGATCCATCTCAAAATATAATTTTGTGAGCAACAGGATAATACCCATACTCATATAAGGAAGTCCAGTGAATACCACAATCATTAAAATATATGCACCATCAACCAAAGCCAAAGCGGAGGATATAGATGATTTCTACCAATTTTTGTAGTCAGAGATTGGCTGCACACCACAACAAGAAAAAAGTAAATAACCCAACTGAAAAATGGGCACAGGATATGAACAGACACTTCACCAAAGAAGACAGTCAG